CCCAGCTGGCTCCTAATGCAGGATAGGACAGCGTAGGAAAGGTTACTTGGATGACCTCCAGCATTCCTTTCCTCTGAGAAAGCACACACGAACGCTTACCGGGAGAGACGGAATTTCCAAAAGAATTACTGAGCATCAGAAATGAATTTTAAGTTGAATTTTCAATAAAGTTTGCCAATACTTGCAAATATAAGCTATTGGAGTCTTATAGTGGTTTCTGTCCAGATTGTCTTTGCAGTCCTGCACAAACAATATGGACTTCTCCCACCTAAATTCAGTAGCCTTCACAGAAAACGTTGTCCTGTACAATGCTGAATAGTCTTTACAGGGCACAACTAAACCTTAGTCTTTGCTAATATCCTTTCTATTATAAAAAGAATATGGGAAATCCATGAGCTGCGCTTACTGTGACCAGAAATCAAAAGGAATAATTGTGCTCTTTATTTATGACTAAAGATATTGATTTGACAGTTAGGAACAACCATAGAGAAGCAATTTTTAAACATAAAAGCAGCTATGGCTATTTGTTTAATGTACTTCAAATGATCAGACATGTATCAGCATTCACCTTTTGACAGAAAGCTTCACTTTTTTAAATATATTTTACAATTTAAACAGCTAAAAGTTTTCTGGTTCATTTGTAAGAATCTATTTTGGATGCCTGAGGTRCCTGAGAGTTCTTAAACACACTGCTGGGAAGACCAGAAAGCGCTTTTTTCTCTTTCTTCTTCTCAACTCTTTTTCATTCCCTATTCTTCTCTTCCATCTAGTTATGATGAAAAATGCCACTCTAATTAAAATATTGCTCATAGTTACCAAGATTACCCTTATCCTTCTGCTAAGGCTCCAAGACCGAGATGCCCATCCCTCTAATTACTCTCTGAGGTGGTAGCTACAGGTTACTGTGCTACAATTCCTCCAAAAATCTTTATTTCCAAATCTTAGGATGAGGTTTTGAAGTAGAGAAGGATAAAGGTGTCTGGGTGCTTCACCTTATCCAGGTGTGATTTCCCTGCATTACTGCAAGTTTTGAGCTTTTGCTGAGTGAAACTTGTTGCGTGTTGAAACAGGAACAGTCTACCTCTCATCCTGTAAAGTTTCATCTGTTTTYCTCACTCTTTCTATTGAAATAGTCCTGAAAACACCTACGAGTAAATCTGTGTAGTAGTATAGCATAATATTATGAGTCAAATGGAAATTTCTAAGACAAGAACTACTGCAAAAATAACCTAAATCCCCGTGATGGACTCATTTCTTCTATTAAAAATAAAAAGACTATGATGAAGTGGTCTCTGCAATAACATCCCCCTTCTGTATTATCTCCCTTTACTCCTTGCCATTTCCTTAGTGGAGCCCTCTGTTAAGTCCCTCATTTTTTTCCTGGTACATAGCATAAGTGGTGCATTGATTTGATGAGGAAGGAAAACAGACCAAAATACAAAGTTTCACCAGAACAAATTCTGACCGGGGCCTCAGATCTCACAGACTAAATAAATAGTGAGGTCATTTTAATAAACTCTTTCTCTTAGACAAACCCCTCAGTATTCCTCTTAGTCATTCCTTAGCCATTAACTCTTCTTTGGAAACAGTGTTTAGAGAGTTTACATSCGACATGAAATCAAGACAAATCGCTGACCCCAGTGCCTATTATATTACTTGGATAAACAGTTGGGGCCTTGCAAAGTCACACACTGTCTCGGGATGTAGCCGTTGCAGAAGTGGAGCTGGCAAAGGCCAGGAARGCTGCCAAGGCTCCAAAGTTTGACCAAAATCCCCAGGGATGACAGTAGATCAGGTTACAGGGATGCGAATACTRCTCTAATCAGTAAAAGAAAAGCTTCTTTTCATCAACGGCTAATCTTCTGACTTCATTTGTCACTAACTTCTTCCAGTTGCCTTGACAGATGAGAACACACTAATATAAATAAGAAATGACAGTCTATCAAAGAAGGTTAACATTAGGTCATGGCCTTTTTTATTGGACTTGTGCAGCTTATTCTAGGGGAAAACCAGGGTTCTGCAGCCCTCGACTCGGCATGTTTCACACAGCTGGACCTGGAACTGAGTTCCAAGACCGGACTGAAGTTTGGAAAACACCTATTTCACTTTTTATGATGCTCAGGCAGAACTGTTTTGCATTAATATAAAATATAAAATGGAGCATCTACAGCTCTCATGGCATCACGGCAGAAGTCCGTGTTTCCTCTTCTGAACATACAAGGGGGGCAGGACATGAAGAGGCTGATTGGCCTCAGTTACTTGGCAGACCAGAGACAAAAGCACCCAAAACATCTGCCGTTTCTAAGGCACAAAACCTTGATTAAATGAATACTGCAAATTCTACAGATAGAGGCACAAGGAACCAGACTTGTTCACACACACACACAGCTCGCCTCCTTTACTCACACCAAGTTATCGTTTTCATGAGCAAATTCAGCAAAACCACCAACCCACAGCAGTTAAGTTAATGCTCACTGCCATAACTTGTTTCAAGCTAATATTGCCTGTTTTTGCTGTACTCATATAGCCCCTTGTGCCTTGCAGACAACTATGATGCCCCAGAGGTTGAAGAGCTTGAGCATCCTCAGCAGTTTCATCGTCCACGGTGAGATAAGGCCCTTGGACCTCCCAAAACTGCTCACAAAAAGAACAACTATTTCTGACAAAGTCAGGGGTATATTTCATCCTATAGCAGAATTCCTTAATTTTTTATCCACTTTCTGCTCCTTAGCACTAAGAGCTCTAAACAACTAAGAACAGTTTTAAATAAATTTATGGTTACTTCTGACAACATCTTTCTTTTCTGTCAGAAGGACATTCTAATTTGTTCCCAAAAAAAACAATATCACGTAATGATCTCCTGAATAAAAAAGTCTGCACTACTTCTATGGTGGTTTTATAATGCTATGCCTTATTTGTATCTTAGCTTATATAAAAAAGCACAGTTATTGATCTTTCCATTCACTGGTGAAATAAAACCCAACCATGAGATGGATAACGGAAGCAGATCAATAGCACTCAGCTATTTTACACTATACTTTAGATTAAAAGGWAATATAAAGCAGACTATGAAGCTACAAGGAAAGAAGGAATATAGCTACCCAAAGTGACTATAATAAGCCTTATTCTTGCAAAACACCAGGGTAACCTCAGTGATCATGTTCTACCCTCACCTGCAAAATGGCACCAATGAGCAATGCATCGTGCAGGGGCAGCAATAAAGTACATATGTAAGGCATAAAGTAATAAAGGTCACATGTTTACTTTACTGCCAAAGAGTGGTCAAGCATTAAGTCCCTTATGCTGTAAAACCAAATGATGAGGAGCTGAAGGTCTCTTGTGCAGGTCTATACAGCCATATACTCATTGTCATTATCAACTTCACTAAGATCCACTTGTAATTAGTGTCACCGCTACGTTCACACTATGTTAAGACTTGAATGGCAACCGGTTCATTCCACATTTCCCTTTTTTTTTTTGGCGAGAACCTTTCAAGTAATGGTTTCAAAATTCTTCAGTAATTCTTGGTTAGGTAATATATTTGATAATTTGACAAGAATCAAATTTCCTAGGCTCTGCTTGTGTCTTTAATGAACAGAATATAAAATATCCTTCAATTCTATTATTTTGAGTATATTTTAAGAATAGTAGAACTAAGCAGAAGAAACACTAATTTTACTAACTCATTCTCACAACTATTTTGACAGAAACAGCACTCTCACAGGCTAAACAATCTCGAATTAAGATGAGTAGGATCCTGGCTTTCAAAATCTGAAGGTTTTTCAGGAACTTCTAAGCAAATCTGAAAACAGTAATATTCTCCAGCATATAGTGCTATGAACTAATTCGCATGCCAAGTACCATGTAGTTCCCAAAAGAGGTAACGGAGATATGAGGTGAAGTGGCAGGAATTGGGATCACACACAGTATTTCCGGCTGAAGTTCTCAAATGGCCAAAATGAACACAGAGAAAATCACAATAATCACATCTAAGAACTGCAGTGCTTTTTATCAGCCCTTAAAATGGAGTTAAAGGACCAAGGCATAATGGAATCCCAGCAGAGCTGAATTTATGAGATCCTGTGCAACAGCAAGAGCCACAGAAGATGGCTTCTTATGAAAGGATGACAATATTATTTAATAAAAATGCACCTAACACCTTTCATTTGGACAGAAGTAAAGCATTCAACCACACACTTAGTGCAGCAATGGAACGGAATTGAGGTGCAACCCAGGCATGGAGCCCGTGCCTGGAGGATCACGTAGCCGAGCACAGGTATCCCAGGGGTGAGGAAGAGCATTCGAGGAGAAGGATCTGCTCTGGTCTGTGACGCTGCACACCTGCTGTACCCCTCAGCTTGCCCCTTGTACCCCGAGATAMCAGAACACAGCGACTGCACATCAACAGATGGGACAGGCTTGCTGGCACCTGCTCGGAGCTTACCACGTTGCCATTCAGAAACCTCATCACAGCACTCTTCATCATGGGATGCTCTATGTGATGCTTCAACCTTGTTACACAAAGTCACTCTTGAACTGAGTATTACCCCATAACAGGGCTTAGGTTTTCCCTAGGAACAAGGCAAATGTGTTCACCAAGCATGTGATTTTAGATGCCTTTTTATTCGGGTAATCTCTAGCTGTAGAATTGTGACTGAATTTTCTGATAAGAACAGTTTTCTTTTAGAGACAGATGAAATATCTGCAAATATATATATATATTTTCTTCAGGCAAATATATATATTTTCTTCAGGCTTTTAAACTGATGATGGAAGTACCATAATCGGGACATGGCACAACCCATGCAGGTTAAACGATCCAATTTTTCAATGAAAACACTTTGAAGTGTTCTCAGAGCTAAATCTTCATAATCCAGACATAAGAAGATCTGTACTCCTGACAACTCTTCAGCAGGCTCTAGATAAAAGGTAACATTTTCCTTGCCAGCATGTCCTCCGATTTCCYAACAGCAGTGAGAGACACAGTAAAAAATTGTTACCTCCACATGATCTTCCATCTTCCTCCAGTTTCTGGCCAGCGGGGCACTTGCAGTAGTAGCTGCCGATGGTGTTAGAGCACTGGTGGTGGCAGCCACCCCTCTCAGTGCTACACTCGTTCACATCTGGGGGGAGAAAGCGTGGGGCAGTCAGCAAGGTGCAGGCACGGACCACGTTATCTGCTTATTTAATAACAACTGTGCACGACGTTGAGCTTGTGGAGGGAGAAAGATGCTRATAAATGCAAGTGGGGCCCTATTCAGGCAGTGTCATTTAAGTTGYTTCTCGCTGTCATGACAGATGAAAATCATGTGGAAATTGGTAACATCTTAAATCARTGAAAGCCCTTCCTTCTTTAGGATATGTATGTGCTAATATCCGCACACCTTATCTTCTTACCTGTTCACATTTGTGCTTTTCTGTATGGTTTTGGACAGGAAAAAAGAAAAAAGGCTATTCACAAATGGCTATTTGCAAATTATAAGTGAAGAACATTAAAGAAATGTATAAATAAATGCCTAGTCAATGGTTGAGAAAAAGCCAGTAAAGATCAGGCTTTTTAACCCATGTATTTATATATTCTGCACAAGAATTTGTGCAGTGTGACAGAGCTCTTCAGGACAGTGCTGTTCTGCTGAATGGGAWCACAGGCACCAGATGGTATGAGAGCATTTCCAAACTGGAAAATTTGTCGAATGGAATAGCAAACTTAACAAAAACAGCAGGTATTTGCTGTATTGATTTAACACGTTTTGGGAGCATTGTGTAATGCTTCCTTGCTTGCATGGCCCTCTCTGAAGTGTTAATCCTGTCACAGGGATGTGTGATTCATGCAGTGCTGGGTGAGGAGCCACCGCAGGGAACGTGCACACGAATCCCGGGCTGGGGGATCTTGCCTGTTGCCCAAAAAGTGGGAGAAGGGGAGCAACAAAATAACAGGAGAATTAGAAGCACAAGCAAAAAGGTTTTATACAAGAAGCATTCTGCATTTCCACAGGGGAAACATGTGCCTTTTGGTAAAGTTGCTAATTAGATGCTAGTCAAAAGAAGAAAACCGCTTTAAAGACAAATCCACTCCCCAAAAAAYAACCCACATATGTACAAGAAAGAAGGGATACTTCAACCTCAATCCTTTACAGATAAAGTCACCTATGTTTGTCAGCTCATGGGTGAGCTTGAGCTCAGCTTCAGTAGCTTATCAAGGATTCCAGCTAAAAACAGAGGTTAAAGAAACCAGGCACTTRGGAGGATTGACTTAAATTGATTAAAAGCTTAAAAAGAAAGAGTCTGAAACGGCAATATTTGCCAAAATGGAGCTGAAAAGGTGCAAATTCCCTAAAATCATTTAATTTCTCTGAGGCTGAGGGCACACAGGACTGGTGACAGATCTCCATCAAGTCCCTAGGGCAGAAGGAGGTGTCACAGCAGCACCGGGTCTCACCCAAGGGACAAGAGAGCCCTGTCCCCAGCGAGCACTGCCTCCAAATAGCAGCTATTCCATAGGCCTGGCAGGAACGAACGCTAATGAGCCACTAATGACCTTGCTCCACGGCTTCAACAGTATCAACAACTAATAAAATCTCTCTTAAAAAAAAACATATATATACACACACACATTAGGGAAGTACTTATGCTTCTAGYCTATGCTCAACATATGCAATACTACTTAACCCCCTAGCATAAGATATTGCCTGCATGATGTGGCCCAATTTATTAAAAGCAGCCTCTGTGCTTTGAACCAGAACTTTAAAAGAGAGCGTTTCTAATCATCAGCCTCTTCATTTCACTAGTGCATAATATAAATGGMAGTCTGTAGTGCTATGGCCTATTGATGTATATCGTGGTTTTGCTTTTGATTGCGGTGTGTTTGTATTAGCAATCAGAAATGTGCTCCTTTTTCCCGTTTGGAATAAAAAGCTGTGTCCCGTGTTACGCAAGTATTTGTGTTGCATGACTAGTGATGTCCTCCCCCAGCATTACTTCTTATGCTCTGYCCAGGATTTCCTTGTCTCTGCCTTAATATACGCTCTCATCCCATGCTTTTTCCTTCCTCTTAGACGAGAAATTCCCTGCTTATTCTATTATATGCACAAAACTTGCCTTTTCATCCACACTTCTCATTAAAACAAGTATTTCCCTTAAAACTCCGTCAGGACTCAGCAATTAAACGATAATTAGCTTCCTGTAAGAAAGCAACATAAGCTTTTGATATGGTTTTATCCCTGTCGTGCAGCATTTGAAGACATCTACTCATTAGGTATAAACTATAATAGTTTTAACCCTAGGATAGGCAGATCACTCCCCAAGCACCTGCATCCTTAATTGTACCATCAGTCCCTGTAGAAAGGTTTCTCCATCGCCTGCACCATGCCAATTTATTTTCTAAATTCCAGTAAAAAAGATTAGAAGTTACCTCCAAGCAGCTCTAAAATAAATGATCTGAATGTGATCAAAAATGAGTTTGTTTGGCATTTGTAAAAACACAATTTGTAGAGCACTTATAACCTGCAACGACTTGTTTTACATTCTTAAAACGTATAAAGTATTCTGAATTTTAAAATCGGAATACAGATTTGCCATCGTAATTAAAAAAAAAAAGCAAAACAGCCGAAACGATCCTGCCAAATGATAAATTTCAGCTCACTCCTCATATTCAATGTCATTCAAGGTTGCAAAAAAATTTGCCTCTTGGATAGCGAGAAAAATGACAGAAAATGTCTGACATGTAACAAGTCTGCCAGGTTAGGCCTGACAAAGGTTCCATGTTATCGAGACCATCAATCCATCTGTAATGACATGCTGCAGGCGCTTCACAAATAAATGTGATTTTTGCTACCGCAGTATTTCACGTTTATTTATAGAGCCCGTGTCGCAACAGAGAAACATTATCCACGGGCCACGCTGCCCGTGCGCCTTCAATCCTGCCGTACCACACCTTGAAAAAGACACTTTCGATAGACACAAGCCTTTCTTCATCAATGATAGTTTCCAGATTAACTTTAAACATGATCTATTACAAGTAGAGAACTGTGTATTTAAACCCACTAGTACTCCAAAATGTGGACTGCAGACATGTGCCTAGACGTTCTATATTCCCTATACACATACAGCCACACACAATAAAGGCATTAATTTATCTAACCTTATCAAATACTTCATACGTTCAGAGTAGGGCAGAATACGTCTTTTCTTTTTTCTTCATTAAATAGATCGTCTTTGCTCAATTAAACATGCCCAGGAGCTATATGATGGGTAGAGAAAGCCTRATTCTAGTCCTCTTCCTCCTGCCTTCTTCTCTGATGTTACTCACACCCTCCTTGAGAACATCACAGAGCAGAGCAAGGGAGMAACCACCCCAGGCCTCCCTAGAAAAGACTTTATCAAGATTTTATTTATCAAAATTATGTGATTTCAGATTTCCTAGAAGTGAAAATTGTATTTGAAACTGGAGACTAGAAAAAAAATCAGCAATCCCCTCCTCTATCAGTTCATTCTGCCAACAATCTGTGTCTACAGGATATGACAACAACCCTACAGCTTGAGGGATTTTTTAAGCATAACATTTTACTGATATAACAAATGCATGCAACATGAAATGGTATAAACTAATATTAAGATTAATTCAAAATGTAAAGCATTTTTTCCCAGGTTGTTGTGTTTATCAGCCAAACATGAGCAGAATCTCTATTCAGTTGTTTCTAGCCCACCAGGGCAGYGACCACCCTGTGGGGCTGGTGCCACTGCTCACAGGACTTGCCATGAACCACTGAAGAGGAGGAACCTCTGCAAAAATCACTCACGTTCTTGTTGCACAACCACACGAGCAAAGCTCCTCACCATGGAAAAGGGAGGTTTTCCTGCTCGGTGTAAAAGTCTTAGCCTGGCACACAGGTCTGATGTGATTCTAATGACAATTCAGATGTGTAAACTCCTAACTCCAAACACAGAACTCCAGCATTCCCAGCTACAAACCCCTACACTCACGATGCTCTGATTCAGGCTCTAAACATGAATTTTCATGTGCAGCTTCAACCACCTGCATGTGCACGTCAAGCAACACACACGAGCGTCTGACACATGTGCGATGGTGTAGGTGCCTGCATCACATTTTGCATGAATTCATGTTACAAGGAAGTGTTTACAAGTCAAAGCACACACGTGCCCACCCTTGCTCTGCCCAGTATTCAGAGCCTTTTAATGCTACAGAAGATTACAGAGTTTTAACTTACTAAAAACACATACAGATTGGTTTCCTGGCACCTGGGACAGCTCGGCGTATGAGCTTCAAAGTGCAAACGCTTCCAAAACATTTGCCAGATTAACATTTGTCAGATTATGCGACATTTGACGAATCCGCAATGGTGAGGGAAAGCACAATTTTAATTTGGGACCATGGGGATATCTCTGAAAATAGAGCTATATTAACCACAGCCTTAGTTTGGGAGCACGTAGGGAAAAGTGTGAAAACCAGGCCAGCACAACCAGGGCACACATAGACACTTCCAGGACATCACCCCTACCCTCTGCARTCTGTGCACAAAACATTGCCTTTAAAACAGCAATTTGATGGGCTAATTCCGCGGATTTGTCTGTTCCTGCCTCCATACAAACTTCTGGAATGCACAATACGCAATGGCAATGAGTTCACAAACAATATCATATAGAGATATCACATAAAAGAATAGTCATGTAAAGACCCAATGAGCAGAAATTCTAGAACTGTGCTTTCATATTCTCATTTATAGCCAATATGCAACAATCTGACCTATTTTTTCCCAGTGCTACACATCCAGTAAATAGGTAGCTCCTTAACTTGCTTAGGATTTTAGGTGCTGTTTTTTAAAACTACAGCCCAGACGGCCTGAAACAAAAACCCACAAGTCTGAATAAACCCTGAAACTCGAGAAAGCTGCTTTGAACTTTGTGTCATACCTGACAAACTGGCCTGCGGTGCAGCTGATGCCACTACCTGTGAGCAGGACGGTGGTGCCACTGTCCRGAACCAGCTGAACGAGACAGGCTGATGAACACGATGCCCATGGCCAATATATCTGCTTTCTTTTTCTTCCTTTCGTACAAGAGCTTTAGAGCAGTCTTCAGTTAACAGCAATTGTCTCCAAAACGT